GAGGGAGGAGGGTGAAAGGGATAATTCGGCACATGTGTGTGGTGATGGGTTGTAATTAGTATTTGGGTGGTGAACATGATGTAATCTATGCAGAAATAAAAGTATAATGATGTACACCTGAAATTTATACAATGTTATAAACCAATGTTACTGCAATAAACAAAAAATTTAAAAAATAAATAAATAAATACAATCTGTTCTTATACCTCCCACTATCCCAAAGACAGTTGAAATGCAATTGCCCTTCACAAGTTTATTTTACCAACCATGAGCTGGCCACAATATACATTTTTAAAAAAATGTAAGTTCAAATGAGGGCAGGAATGTTTATATCTTTTGATCACTGTTGTATGCCTGGCACATAGTAATGCTCCAGAAATATTTGTTGAATGAATTTGTGAGTAACTATTGTTATTATTAGTAATTATTTCAATAATTAAAGTGCCAACCTAAATATAGTATATCTGGAAATATATATGTATACAGGGAATATATGATGTTTAGATAAGGATTGCACTTTCTAATTTTGTACATTCCCCGCCCCCCCACCCCGTCCCCAGTCTCCTGTTCAATAATATCTTGAATACTGCTTGGCAAAAAGTAAACACCCAGTCGGTGCTTGGTGAATATTAGTTGGGGATTTTCATTCCAATGGAGACTAAATACATGACAGGACTAAGACTCTCACAAATTTGTTTACTTTAAATATCTATGTTAGAATAGTTAGCCAACAGTATTGCATACAGCCTGTCATTTTTAAAGATGTTGCTTACAGAAGTATGGCTTCGAATGAACATTATTAGGTTGTGGAGGAGTTAGAAATATGATGGACGAGGTTGAGTAAAGATAGAAAACTACTAGCATCAGTCACAGGTTATAAGAGGTTATGATTGTAAAAAGGTTAGATCAGGAGGAAACAGCATAGAAGAAGAGGGATGATACAATGGAGGAAGTTGGTTTATATAGTATGCTATTAAAATGCTGATTCTGTCATATCCTGTCACATCATTTATTGTTCAAGACAAGTATCTAGTAGGCCAGCCCTGGTGGCCTAGTGGCTAACTTTGGATCCCTCTGCTTCAGTGGCCCAAGCTCAGTTCCTGGGCACAGACCTACACCACTTCTCTATCAGTGGCCATGCGGTGACAGTAGCTCAGATACAAAATAGAGGAAGATTGGCAACAGATGCTAGCTCAGGGCGACTCTTCCTCAGCAAAACAAAACAAGACAAGTATCTAGCAATTCACCTTAAAGGAAATTGATACCCTATCATAATCTATTGAATCCATTGCTCAGTGACATGCATGGATCAGAAAACATATTTTGTCTTGACAGCTTCATGTCCTGTGCATAGGTTTAGGACTTTTTACTTCATTAAAACTCAGAGTAAATTATTCTCTATAGAATCATTAGGAATTAGGGACAGAGTGCTCCACCTCTTCTATTTCTTTCTTCTGTAATGGAATGGATAACACAAACTGTTCAGAGGTGGTTTCCTATTTATGAATTATAACAATGCTTTTCCAGTTCTTAAAGATAAATGAAATATTTCTATTCCATAATAATGACACTTTCATGTTTACTGCATTAATGAAGACTATGCAAACTTTCTTTTACTTAGCAGTTTTTGTATGAGTTTGGTGTGTATATATATTGTATATAGTCTTGTTCCGCTGAAATTGAGGCATGCTTATTGAGAACTGTTAATAAACACAGAAAAGTGAAACATTGCTCCTCGCAATCTCTTAATGTGTTTTATTTCTTTGTCTTGTCTCTTTGTCTCCATCTCTTTCTTATCTGCTTCTCCATGTCTCTCTTTCAATGTTTTTTTTCCTCTTTCTGAAATCTCCCAACTAATCCAATTATACTCAGACTTGGGAAATATAATCAAAACCTCTCAAAATGAGAAACTGAAATAATTTCCGCAAAGTCATCCATTTGTCCCCCAATCTCTCTCAAACTCACCCCTTCAATCTGAAACTCACTCCATTTAGATTTTGCCGCCACTACTCTACTAAAACTGCTTTTATCAGGGTCCTTAATGATTATTCTCTTTCTAAAACCATAGTCAATTCTCAGGCCTTCCTTTCCTTTATCTACTCTAAGCCTTTGACTGATTTCATCACAACAGTGTTCTGGATTAATCTTCACTTGGATACATGTACAGCGCATTCTGCTTGTTTCCCTACTACTTTACTAGTCACTCCTTCTCACTCTTTTTGTTCTTTCCTCCTCTCCGGGACCTCCCAATAATACAATACACCAGGGCTCAGTTGGTCCTAAGTCTTCTTTCACACTCACTCCTTTAGGAAATACCATGCATATGCTAATACATCCCAAATCCCTACCTCCAGTCTGGACTTTGCCTCGGAAATAAAGACTCATATATCCAACTGCATACCCCACACTGACATTTGGATGCCCAACAGACATTTAAAAATTTTGTGAATCTCTACTAAGTATTGCAAAAGATAAGAATAACAATAACAACAAATATGCCCACCTAGTGTACAATTTTATAAGATTTTTTTTCTCCCTCCTTGAACAAAAATTTCACCGTACCAAGGCAAAGGATGATTTGGCCCTTTACATCAGTATTTTTAAAATTGAGGTGAAATTCTGATAACATAAAATTAACCCTTTTAAAGTGTACAATTCAGTGACACTTAGTACATTCACAATGTTGTACAACAATCACCTCCATCTGATTCCAAAACATTTGCATCACCTCAAAAAGATCCATTCCATTAAGCAGTCATTCCCCATTCCCCTCTTCTCCCAGGCCATGACAACCACTCATCTGCTTTCTCTCTCTATGGATTTGCTTATTCTGGATATTTCACATAAAAGGAATCATACCATATGTGGCTTTATATGTCTGGATTCTTTCACTTAGCATGTTTTAAAGGTTCATCTATGCGGTGGCATGTGTGAGTACTTCATTATTTTTTTATGGCTGAATAATATTCCCCTGCAATTATGTACCACCTTTTGTTCATGCATTCATCAGTTGGCAGATATTTGGGTTGTTTCCACCTTTTGGCTATTGTAAATAGCATTACTATGAACATTTGTGTACATGTTTTTGTTTGAACACCTGTTTTCAATTCTTTTGGGTATATACCTAGGTGTGGAATTTCTGGGTCATGTGGTAATTCTATGTTTAACTTTTTGAGAAACTTTCACATGTTTTCCACAACAGCTACACCATTTAATATTCACAGCAGAATGTATGAAGTTTCCAATTTTCTACATCTTTATCAACAGATTCTATTTTCTTTTTATTTTTTTATTATGACCACCCTACTGTGAAGTGGTATCTCATTGTGATTGGTATGTGCATTTTCCTAACAATTAATGACATTGAGCATCATTTCAAGTGCTTGTTGATCATTTGTATATAGTCTTTAGAGAAATCTATTGCCCATTTTTAAATTTAGATGTTCATTTTTTTGTTGTTGAATTGAAAGTTTTCTTTATATATTCTGGATATTAGTCTGTAGTTTTCTTTTCTTAGAGTGTCTTTTTTCTGACTTTTACATCAGAGTAATGCTGGCCCTTGGAATGAGTTAGAAAGTGTTCCCTCCACTTCAATTTTTGGAAGAGTTTGAAAAAGATTGGTATTAGTTGTTCTCTAAATGCTTGGGAAAATTCACCAGTGATGCTATCTGGGCCAAGGCTTTTCTTTGTTTGGATATCTAAATTACTGATTCAATATCACTAGTTAAAGGTCTTTGCATATTTTTTATTCTTCGTGATTCAGTCTTGGTAGATTTTGTTGAACTAGGAATTTGTCCATTTCATCTGGGTTATCCAGTTTGTTGGTATACTATTGTTCATAGTACATTCTTTATAATCCTTTTTTTTTGTTTCTGTAAAATCATTAGTAATATCCCATTTTCATTTCTGATCTTAGTTATTTGAGTCTTTGTTCTTGGTCAATCTAGTTAAAGTTTTGTCAATTTTGTTGATCTTTTAAAGAACTAACGTTTCATTTCATTGATTGTCTCTATTGTTTTTCTATTCTCTGTTTCACTTCTCTCTGCTCTAATCTTTATTATTGCTCTCCTTCTGCTAGCTTTGGGTTTAGTTTGTTCTTTTTTTTCAAGTTCCTTAAAGTGTAAAGTTAGGTTGTTGATTTTAGATCTTTCTTCTCTTTTAATGTGTTTATAGCTATAAATTTCCCTCTTAGCACTGCTTTCACTTCATCTCATAAGTTTGGGTATGTTGTATTTTCATTGTCATTTGTCTCAAGGCATTTTTCTAATTTCCCTTACGTTTTCTTCTTTGACTCATTGGTTGTTTCAGAGTGTGATGTTTAATTTCCACTGGGTGTGAATTTTCCAGTTTTCCTTCTGCTTTTGATTACTAGTTTTATTCCATTGTGATCATAAAAGATACCTAGTATGATTTTTATCTTTTAAAATCTATTAAGACTTGTTTTTGGGCCCAACATATGGTCTATCCTGGAGAATGTTCCATGTGAACTTGAAAAAAAATGTGTATTTTGCTATTGTTGGGTAGAGAGTTCTGTAGATGTCTGTTGCGTACCAGTTGCCCCTTTCCTGAACAAGTATTTGCTTGGTTTCTGTTAACCTTTGACTATTTTCCAGAGTTCTGACGAAGTTGATTCTGACAGTTTTTGCTCTTATTTTCAGTGCTTCTGTGGAGAGATGGGTCCTTAGATTTCCCTACTCTGCCATTTTCACCGAAATTACTCTTGACTCTTTAGTTTTTATACAAAACGAAATGTGAAGTGATTGACCTTGAGTGGGTGAACTTCAGGTTTTGTGACGCTACTGTGAATATACTTGTGCATATAGAGAAGTAGAAAAATCAGAGATATCTATTGAGCCTAAAGTTTGGAAGTCTCTGTGAAAACATTTTATAATAGTTCATATTTATAGTTAGCCCTTTTTCCCTCTCCCTCAGTTGTCAAATATCTTCATCTGATCTTCAACGAATTAATCACCACCCAGAAATGGAGTGACTTTATATAGGTTAAGGAAGAGGGGAGATCTTTCTAGCACTGTCTGTTAACAGAAATCCTCCAATCTGCAAGCTTGACAAGTCCTAGAAATTTCTGATTGCCACTTAGGCACTTCAGCCTTGATGAAAGGTATCTAAGTTGTTGAGAACAGAACCAGCTCAGAGCAAAGAAAAGCCCAGTTTCTTGGGCTCTATCTTGCTTTACAGAGGTACGGCTTCAAGTGTATGGTCCCAGCAATGTCTGCAAAGCAATGACATGGTGAAAAATGTACAGAAGGGTAAAGATTTGGAGGAGTATTGACCTATATATTGCTTTATGTGTTGGCCTATGTCTCCGGGACCCCTACCAAATAAATGTCCACCTCACTATGATAGGCATTCTACCACTCCATGCCCACATCTTAGTCTATGGGTCTCATCTTTCAACTTTTTCATATATAGAACTGGCTTCAAAGTTATGTTTAGATTCAAGTTCTCACCCCTGAAACAAAGGCACTTGAGCAGCACTCCCACAATCTTTAGTCTCTTGATTTTTGTTTTCTATGATGTATTCCCATCCACACTGCTTCTGCATGCTACTGCAAGGCTTTTCAAATAGTATAAAAGGAAATGCCAAAGCTTTGATTTTACAAAGTTAAGGTCAAGTTTATTTAAAATCAGAACCATCTGACAAAGTCAATGTCTCTGAAACAGCAGTACCCACAGTGTATAGAACACAAATACAAATGTGAAAAAAACGTTGTCCCTGCCTAATTAAAGGAACAGGTTGTAGAAACAGGGTCTCTACCATGGAGCTAGTCAGCAGTGTCCAGGAGTGACTGTGCCACTGCTGGTAGTTTCTATCTCTTAGAGACCCAGGAAAGTGGTTTTAACATCATCTTTAATGCTGAAACAAAGGATAGCAGAGGGGGGGATGCCCTCTGCCCAACACCCTTCACCTCATACTACATAGAGATGCACTTATTCATCTGGCTGGTTCTGACTATAGCTTCTGGTTCCATCTTCTTCATCTTACAGGCCCACAGACTCATCAATACTGGACTTTTCCATACCAGGTCCTAAAGGAGGCGGTGAGTGTACAAATCTGGAAGGAGACTTGTCTGTGAGTGGACAGCTTAGCACCACTGCAGGAAAGTTACTTAACTTGGTAACTCATTTATGTGGGTGGCTGGGACAAACGTTCTCCTTTCCTTATCCAGAGGAACTCCTGAAAATTTTTCTCGACCCTAGGATATGGGTCATGTACCTGTGTGAGGTGTCAGATGATTAAGTTCTGCATTTTTGAATTGAGAGTATTCCAAATTGTTTGTTTTTGAGAAAATTTATGAAGAGGGATCAAGACCAGAATCTAAACAAACAAAAGTATGTCACACAATTTTATTACAAAATAAAAGGCACTCAATCAGACAGTTAATTTCCTCCTCTTTAAGTTGAAATATACACAAAACATTTCAAAAGAAAATTAGGAAGAACCAAAACACCAAAATCTAATTGAAGACAAT